GCTCACCGAGGCCACACTTGCTGAAGAGCAAGATGTGCAGCTTCTTCCTGATAGGCTGCGGGATAGGAGCCTTCTGATAGCGTTTGGCAATTAGCAGTAACGCCGTGCTAAAAACGAATTCTTGCCTGTTGTTTTCAAGCAGCAGATGCACCCAGATGGAAATGTACATCTGTCTTCCCGCCCAAACATGCGTCACACATGCATACCTCATATCCATGACCCGGAAGTCGCTTGCCCTGGAGAGCAGGCCGCTGCGTGGTGGGTCCAGCCTGCCGCTTTGCTCATAGCGAGGAGGAGAACTCATCTGAGGGCTTCTTGAAGGTGCGTGCTGAATCGAGGAAGGCAGCAGGGGTTCTGGCGCGGTGGGACCCACAGTGCGTAGAAGGGATGGATCATCACAAATTGCAAGCATCCATTTCTTCATTCCATTTCTTTTCAGTATGGTGCTAGACGCTCTCTGCCAACACCCCATGCCTGCAAGAGGTTTGACTGGAGTTCTCTTTAGACCCCATCACTCCTACAAAGTGTTCTGAACTTGTTGAAGCCTTCTGCTACAAGCAACTCCAACTTAAAACGTGCAACTTCTCAGTTCCGTGTCCTACCAATCGGTTGCTCCACATACGTATAGTTCGCAGCCACTACCAGCACGAGTCGTCGGTGTCTGCATACAGCAGGAGCTGCAGGAAGCAGCAGCCGCAACCTCAGCAGCTGAGCTCTGGGAGTTTTTGTGGGGTCACCCAATAGGGTTTAGGGGTTTAGGGTTTAGGGCCCTATAATGGAGAATCGAATGGAAAAGAAAATGGAAAATCAAATGGAAACTGGGATTATATAGGGCATTTCGAGATGAAGTAGAAGCTTATGAGCTTTGGGCTGTCGCTGCCACGTGCAGACAGGCGTTTATGTACATGGAAGTGGTTAAAAAGTGTACTGTAGAAGCCTGAAAATTCCCAAGATTATGGTCTTTGTAGACCATAATAGGGTATCTCAAAATGGACCATCAACTGATATTGGCAATTATTCTGGCCCCTGCATCAAGGAATCGCGACGCATCACTATAGAAACGCAGTTGCCAGTTCATTTTCCACGTTTTTGCATTTGATTCTCTGATACTTCCCTAACCCTATATAACCCTCTATACTCGCTATATAAACCTTATATATACCTTGTATAATCCCGAAATAACCCTACGGAATCCCTGTATACCGCCCATCTTTCGAGGACTTGAGTCACTTGGCTTGGCCCAGGTTTCTATAGGTATAAATTTGGGGAATATGAGGGCTATATAGGGGTTATATAGGGAGTTTTTTTCCGGAAACTACTATATATATATGAGATATATATATATATGGACACCCCCCCCATGGTCGACTGACCCGCTGAAAACACTGTAAATACCAATAAAAGCAAGCATTTTCGCATGATCGGGTTTTGGACACCCCCCCAATTTCGGATTGAATTGTATTTAGACTCTGGGTTTTCAATCGGATTCTTGTCTTTTCAAATTTATTCATTTTATCTGAATTCGACACAAAAATCATCGAATCTGGGATTCCTAGTTTTATATCCAAGTCTGGTCCATTAGAATTATTTATTGAATCTATTTACATTCAAAATTAGAATTCTGGACTCCTGGATTTCTAGTTTCTACCTGGATTCTGGCTGATATAGTTTCCTTATTAAATAAAATATGGAAATACAGACGGCACAAAAAGCACCAACACCAAAAACAAAAACAAAAAAAAACATACATTTTTTTGGAACTATGGTGGCTACTGAAGAAGGTTGGTTTTGTTGGTTTTCCTAGGAAAAAGTAGGTTTTTCTTGAAAAGCCAACTTTTTCCTAGGAAAAACATGGTTTTTGGAAAGCCTGGGCTCCTAAAACCAACTTTTTCCTAGGAAAAAGATGGTTTTTGCCATGATATATATATATATATTGAGTTGAGGGTTCGAAGATCTCCTGGGATCGTTGGTCTGCTTTCCTTGTTTAGCCTGCTGTTTGCAGTTTGCCCTGATGGCTAAAGTGCTGTGGGCCAGAATGGTTCCCAGAGCGTTGGGGCTAAGTAGGGCTCTAGGGAAGCTTCAGAGAGAATTTAGGGGGGATTTCGGGGCCCAACAACCCCTTGAACAACCTTCGGGAGGCCAGGAATTGCTTTAAACAACTCTGACTAAGTTGATTCCAAGCTTCCTTCTGTTGGCTTTCTTGCACTTATGAGCACCTCCCTGGGTCCCTTAAGCTGTTCATTTGTCAAGGCCTCTCCCGCTGAAAAACCCCTTTCCGTCATCGCTTGAGGCCCCCCGCCCTTTCAAGGCTCTTAGATCTCCTCTTTAGCTCCCCTTGAGGTGTATTTTAAGATCACCCTCAAGCACCCCTGGCCAGTCAGGGCAATGATTCAAGTCAATTCTCTTGGTATTGAACATTGTGAGTCGTTAGTGGTCATTTCTGTTGGAGCTGTTTTTGGAAGTCACCCGGTTGTCTTGGATGAGAAAACCCAACAACCTCCAGCAAGACCGCTGGTGCTGAAGATGTTCTATCTTTCCGGCGTCCCAAACATTCTTCGTTTGAGGGAGCACGACCTCATTACTTTTTTGCCCAAGAGTCTTGTAAGGATGTGATGAGCAAGGCCGGGCAGGGGCATTAGCCAAGGGGTTGTCAGATATTGTAGTTAGGTATTGCAGGAAAGCTGGTGCATGTCTATCTCTCATTTCAGGGCCATTGCTTGCTAGGTATCGGTTGCACAGACAGGTTCTATCCTTCTGCCTTGCTGTGGAAGCAGAGGGCGGCGTGCAATACCGTGAGATCTCATAGTAGTGGCTGCGGCAGCCTTGAAACGAGAAACCGCACATGCGATCAATACAAGACTTTGCCACAATGTCATGTTCAGCGTGCTGCCTTGGCACCCTCCAAGCCTTTCAACTCCTCGAAGTTGTTGACTGTCTCTTCCGAGCCTGGATTTGAAATGTCATTTGCGGGAGGCGCGGGGGGCGAGTTCTTTGGCAGGTGCCCAGGAGCACCTTGTTATAGGCTGCATTGGGTGTATGAGGTTGCTTGTAGGATTTTGGACCCTAGACCGCAGGCAAGCGATTAGGCATGAACAACTCTGGGTTCTGCCTTGCTCCATGATGAATGATTGTTGGGCCGGCATGCTGCGCGTGCGGGATTGAGGTCATCCCCACCAAGCTGAATTTGCCCCCACCTTGAATAAGCAGCCTATACTGTTTCCAAGAAGCATAATTAGGGACCCGTAACCCCCAAAGTGGTTCGTGGAACTCCCCGCCCGCAAAGTGAGAATCTGATTTCAGGCACTAGCAAGGTCTACGACCCTCTGCTAAGTTCGCTTGAACACCCACGGCTTCGTATTAGCTGCCGCTCTTGTCCGGAAGGCTCTCGCCCCGCTAGTAGGCCCCACAGACTTTGATCTGACATAAGCCTCCAGACTCCAGGATGCCAACGTTGTGACATTCACTCCCCCAAATATCGTTTTGCGATGCGCCGAAAGGCCGTGATATAATTTAGCCGAAAAGTCTGCTAAACCTGATTTTTCAGGTGGATGTCGGATAGTCCTTGTTAGCACGACATGACATGCAGCACATGGCAATGTTCAAGATCAACCTTTTACCTTGTAATTTGTGTCACTCCTGCGCTCCCACAGTCTTTCAAAATCCATTTGGCAAGGGATAGCATACGAAACTTAAAGCAGGACCCGCCCCCGGATGGACCGCACGCACCGAAGCCGCGACCCCCTGGGGCCTTGCAGACACTTGGCAACAAGTGGAGGTTTGAATGGGATCGGAGTTTGTAGCGGGTTCGTGCACTCTGTTTGGACAGATGCTATAGCTATTAGAGCGACGATCCACGATCCAGTCGACGTTGGAATGGCGCTTGTAGTTGAGTAGTGCGCTCTATCAGCCTGATGTGTGTGTGTGTGTATGACTCCCGTAGCCCACACATTGCCCCTCGCGACAACGCCATGGGTTCCAGCAAGTAATGGTCTATGCTATGTTATGTATTGCAAGTCCAGTTGAAGAAGGAACAACATGTTGGCCGTTAGCCACAGTTTACTCACGATAGTACTCATGTCCAGTAACTTCATGTAACGTTCACAAGATCAACAGTTGAAAAAAGAACTTACTGCGTCCTCCGTCCAGAAAATGAGGTTCCAGAATATAGCCTCCAAAGTGCAAGTGTCCTTCAACGGGAAACCACCCAAAACCTCCGAGTGAGCCCCGACCGAATCATGAGGAAGTTTCTGAATCCCACGGATCCTTCGGAACCGAAATTGGTGAAGGTCACAGTGCAAGAGGACCGCCATGTACCGGGAAATGTAGCAGAACCCCAGCTGATGGTTACTACAGGTCTTCACGTCGGCCCAGCAATCATAGTCCGAAGGGATAAGTAATTCATGTTGGGCAGGCATTGAAGCAAGAACGCGGCACATATGTTCCGAACGGGCCACGTCCTGTGTACCGCAGCTTGAGTTCCTTCCCGACCAATTCCGGAAAGCCATTCCAGATCATTACTTTGAATGATGCTCTATGCAGCAGCATAAAGCCTGCTCCGCAGCATCAATCGTCTCTAATGCAGCGCATTGACGGTGATGACTCTCAGTGCCAGTGACTGCGGGTCAAAGCCAACTTTGAACTGGAGGGGCGCAATTGCATATTGCAGTTCATTGGAGAGGAGAGGTATAATCTCTTAAGCAGGGGAATGATAGCACTTCATGTTTTCTGATGGAATTCATGCGGGTCGTGCTCAACAAGGTTTGTTTCAATAGTATAAGAGGTTTCTTAAAGCAAAGCTAGATTTTTGTGGTCCCTTTATCGGGACCATACTGGATCGCATTGCGTAGAAGGGGGCATATTGGATTCAATCTATCCTGCTCTACAGCCCATTGGGTTTTTAGGGTTATATAGGGGTAACTCAATAGGGGATATGTAAGCCGTAAGAATAATGGAAAATAAAATGGAAACTATTATTTAGGGTTCAGTCAAGTCCTGTGCAGGAAGCCGATAGAGTTTCGACGCCGCAGTCTGCGAGGTGGAGGGCCCAATAGTTTGTAATGCGCTCAGATCCCCAAGACCATTTCTAGACTGGGAATTGGTTGCAGAAGCATTTTTTCAAAAGCAGTGCCTCATTGCTGAAAAGTTTCCTGCAGTTGGGGACACTTTCCAGATCTGCAATTTCCGTGCCATCGAGACTCAGACACGAGCCAAGCGCGTTTTGTGTTGCTCTCACATCTGCTAAGACGCTAAGCTGCTGCGTGCAGAAAGCTGGGGCCCCCTTCACTAGACGGGCATGTTCTGTTTGCGCAGGTCCGAGGGAGTCAGTCTCGCCGATGTCCCCAATCCGGAGGAGCCCCTGAAGGCTTTACCACCTGAGGCTGTAGGCAATGTTGCTAGGACCCTGGGAAGGAGTGCATGTACTGCACTCATGAAAGGGATATGTCGCAGGTCTTCGTCATGTTTAGGCCTTCAGGCGCGGTTTGGGGTTTAGGCTTTAGTGAGGATTATATGGGGGTATGTAGCAAGCTAGTATCAGCTTATATAGATATTCATGACTCGTATCAAAAGTTCAGCCTGCGTTTGATGATGCAGGTCGTTCTCGCAGCTTCCTGGGCCGACGACTTGCTGGAGGTGCCAAGAGTTTTGGGGCCGAGGGTTTAGGGAATCCCCGCTTATCAAACCTCACGTTAGGATTCTTGCTGCAAAATCAAGGGTCCTTAGTACTTTCGATCGGTATGGGCATCATGGGTGTTGTGCAGAGTTGTAATCTTCAAGCCCAAAGGGCTGCAGGTGAGACTGGTATAGGTTCAGGTGTCAGGGGGCAAGCTGATGTTCTTCTTTTGGTTATCTGCCTCTCCAAAGCCCGTGCGGATTGAGGCTTCTTGCCTGACCCTTGCAGTAACCCAACACTTCCATACTTTGAAGAAGCCCTTTGCTGTCTAGCTTGGGATAGGGAACGGAGTACACACCATAATGGAGGATTTTCACAATCCTCCGTCCTTGATACGAAGCTTCTTGCTGCCACCCCAAGCTAGACTACAGACGTTGTATCTTGGCAGGAGGCGCCTGAGTCCATCAGCTCCCTGAAGGATCGCCCCAACCCAGGCGCAGGGATAAGAATGGGAGCCGGGGAGCTAGCCAACTCTAGTTACCATTGTCGATGGCACCGGGATATTGTGTTTCGCCTGTCTAAAACTCAGGCTACGAAATCATGGGCCGAACTGCCATGTCCAAAACATGTGGTCTTCAAGAATAGTATGAGGACTGCAGAACAAGATCTTGGAAAGCTGCAACATGCGCATGACGGGTCAGACCATGGGGATTTGGTGCCGCTATGGTTTCAGTATCATCTGACCCTGTGAAGATTTGCAACATGCTAAGTCTCGTAGACCAAGAGGCCATGGTCAGCTTTGAACCACCCCAGGACGAGGTTTTGGGCCCCCCGAAAGCGAGCGGGTTCTGGGCCTGTCTCCAGAGACAGAACATCACCTACGCTATAGCATGGCAGCGGGTAAGCAAGTGTTTGTCAGTCGGATTGTTCAAATTTCTTAGAGATGTGACAAGTCTCCACATCACTTGCCTTACAGCGCCACGTCTCTTGAAAAGGAAGCCAACCTCCTCGAACTGATGTGCCAGCGAAACGATCTAGGGCTTAAAGCTCAGCTCTTGCTGCGCTATGACAAGCTTGAAGTGGCTGATTTGCTGCCTTGGTGGCTGCGAGCAAGTGCAGTGAAGCTTCTCTAAGGCCCGACGAGTGTGCTGACCTCAGGCAAGTTGAGCATGGAGGCGCAAGTTGTCAAAGCCAATCTCTCAAAGCAAAGGCCTTTGAGAAACTCACAACTAATCCCAGTTTCCCTTGCATTTTCCAGGTTCCTTTCCAGTGATTTTCCATTTGACGTTCAATGAGAAAACTGACAGCAGTCGGCCTTTGAGTGTAACCTCCAGCTAAAGGGATGCCCACGAAGTAAATAGAGGTATCGATGGAATGGGAAAGACAATGGAAACCACTCTACATATGTACGTATATTACATCTACTTCTATTATTACCTTCATTATGAACTAGCATGATGAATGCTCTCAGTGTCATTGCTTATTGTTCTTATCACAGATGTTGGGTTTGTCGTTGTGCGCGCTGTGAAAGCTAGGTATGGAGGCTGTGGTTTCAAGCATAATTCTTCTTGCATTGGGGCTTTGCTGCGGGGTAGCGAAACAAGAGAGAAAGAACATTGCAAAGGGATTGTATTGCCTCATTCCCTTGTAACCGGTAAGAATGCCTCAGTGCTTTTCCTAACAATGCAGGCAGAGATCGTGTTGAGTTCAATTGCTTCTAGGAGCTCACTAGAGTACATCGCTTGTGGACCCCTCATGCGTGTGGCCTTGTGTAGCCAAGGTTGGTTGACACCTTCGCAGACCTGGAAGACTTCCCCACCGAGATCATCTCGTGCGGTGCTTGCAGGGCTGGTGCAGCCTTGACTGCCAATATCGATCGAGATCTAATGCTGGCTTTTGGCTTCGACTACTGACTACTGCAGGGACCGAGAAAGTGGTTGAACAGAACGCAGCAGGTATAAAGAAACAGGGGTTAAGAACGCACAGCATCATCAGCTCCGTTCATCCCAGGCGCCATTGCCACTCAAGGATGCCCTGGCTTCTGTGGGCATACAGCATACAATGCTTTTCATCACAAGCTACCCAAAGGACCTGGCAGGATTTGTGTGGTCCATCTGGTTGAGGAGTGGCGCGGCTGTGGAAAGGCTATGGGTTTTGCCATGGGCGTTTGGAAAGGGATTGTCTCAGTACATACCTCAGAATACCATCATCCCCATGACAGGGGTCCCAAGAGAGAATTTTGCTTGCTGGAAACTGCCATGTTCCTGAACTTCCAGAACAAGCATCCAGCAAGGGTACCGGGTTTCAGAGACCTGGGAAGTAAGCAGAGCCCATGCTACCCCGCCCCGCATGTATGTCCTGGGCCCTACCTACCTTGGCACTGAGCCTCTTTGCTTTGGATACCGCAAAGCCAGACAAAACTTGGACTCCGACCAAGGGCTGTAGCAGCTGCCCGAGAAAATCCGGATGGTCAAATCCAGGCCGTGCTTTTGTGCCCTGCTCGTGGAACGAACTTTTGGGCATTGACCAAGATGACGGCCCATAGGTGTTGAAGATTATTGATTTTGATATATACATATATAGATGTGGGTATATACACATACAAATATGGCACCCCCCCCCCCGCCGGATTTGCATTTTCAGGAACTTCCACTCAGAACCCTAAAGCCGAGCATGTCAAGGACCACCCTTGTATGGGTTTTTATCGCAATTCTATTCATATTGCTAATGTTTCTCATATTGCTGATGTTGCTCATATTTCTTATAACAAGATTGCTAATACTGCGAGTAATACTCAGTGCTATTGTTACCAACTCAGTCTACCCCGAGCATCATCCTATACTGTAATTACGCCATAAATGTTTTACATAGGCTGTTCCAGATATCCCTAGAGCTGTCAGACAATCTTGGTGGAAAAACATCCTAGATTGTGAAAACATCCTAGATGCCACTAAAAGTTGTACCATGAGATCAAGATGAGGGCGGTGATAATTCTAGACTTTAGATTTATTGCGTTATTGGGAAAGATTTTTCGCTCCTGAGATTGGCCCACTGCCTTGTTCAATATGTGAAGTGAATTAATGAAGTGGGCATGCGAGAGGGAAAGCTAAAGCAAACACGCCCAAGTACTGAACACGCAGCACAATCCAGGCTATAAGGCTTTGACATCTTGTGTCGTGGTCGTTTGTTCATCCCCATATTGTTAATGTCACTCTATCTTTCCACTAGGTGAAGAAATCATGAAGGGAGTACAGATACTGAGTGAACTAATATACTTAACCTCGGCTATGAAGATTTTCTCAAGGCATCGGAGTCCCAGTGACTCCAGTGATCATGTAGCTGCGCTCCTTTCATGTTGACTTTGCGCGTTAGGTTGGCCAATGTAACTCACTTGGCAAATGGCGCTTGTATTGGAGAATATGTCCTTTTGCAGCTTTTGTTATTAGCTATAGGCTTGTTTAATACCAGAAAGCATTGATGATTTCGAATCTATCTTGATATTTTATAGGAGTTCTTGTTACCAGGACCTAGTGCTATGCCTAAGGAGGAGAAGATCAGCAAGATTCAAGACTACAGGCTTCATGGTTGTGGTCTCCTCGTTCTCTTACTTCAATTCGTTTGCCGATTTATGAGATGAATTCAAGAAAAGCGTCATAGAATAAAACTGGTGAACAAGGAAACGGAACCCCCACCCAGCTAATTTCAAGGATGAAGAAAGTGCCACTTAGTTTTACCGCCGGCTCTAGGAACAGACACCAAAGGCCGGGATAAGGAGTTCAGGAAGTATTTCCATAATCTGCAAAACGTGAACGCTTAGCTGGAGACATTCCTGAACCATTGGATGACATCAGCAGAGTGAGCGAAGTTTAACTGAATTTGGGGTCTCTCTCTCTCTCTCTCTTCCTCTTCCTAACTTCACATACTCATGGCGTTCTTTTTGCTTTTTGAAGAAACTCAGAGAGCTTAATAATTCTTTCGTGATAACATGAGAATCTGCGAATGCAGAGACCATCTGGGCAGGAAGGATTCCCGATTGAGACGCTTAAAACGATTGAGTTCAGTCGGATGGGGCTCAAGATCCAAGACTCCAGGGAGGTCTTTCAATACTATCTTGGATCCCTGATTGAAATGATTGAAACGATTGAGTTCAATCGAAGGGGAACCTTTTCTTGACGTTGACTTGGGACCCAGCAATTCCCTTGGAGTCCCCTAGGGTATAGGGTATCATCTTGCCCCAACAAGGAAAATCACATGGAAAAATGCCTTTTGAACCGGAAACTAATGTATCACTGGTATGTAGGAATATTACCTCAAAATGGAAGATGAATGGAAGCTACTACATCATTGGTATGTAGGGATATTACGCCGAAAGGGAAAATGAAATGCAAAACGACCCCCAGAAGACCCCCGCAGCCAGGTGAATGGCAGCCCAGGCAGGAGGATTTGCCCACAAGATGATGTGGAGGGTTTCCTTAATTAGGGGTGCCTTTTCAGGGGGTCCCCATAGTAAGGATAAGGATAATCGTATTTTGATGTCCATATTCGGATTCCATATTTAAGGAAACTAACATATCCATTCAGTATCATTTTCTCTGTGGCGTTAGCACTCATTTTTGTGTAGTATACACCCAAGGAACTATTGACACGATATTTTTCTTTCGGGTCTAGGGGGCTACATCATTCAGCATTATTCTCACTTGTGCGATTCCACCATTTTGGCTCATTTTTTCAAGGGCCTTCTTGAAGTTTTGGTATCTGCGATAATTAGATTAGTTGCTGAGACAAAGGCAGGGTTTGGTTTGGAGTAGTTTCCTTTCAGCTTCAAGTCATTGCACTTCTCATTTCATGCCTGCATACGGTTTTGACGGGCGTTGTCAAAGTCATTCATCATGAAGGGAAGTCAGGCTCCAGGAGTCAGGAACCAGGAAGGCGAGAGTCAGGAACCATGAGGGACGGGAGTCAGGAACCATGGAACCATGGA